ATTGTTAGAACACCTTTCTGTCCACAAGTACTATTAAATACTATTGTTAGAACATCTTTCTGTCCACGAGTACTGTTAGATACTATTGTTAGAACATCTTTCTGTCCACAAGTACTATTAAATACTATTGCTAGAACACCTTTCTGTCCACAAGTACTATTAAATACTATTGTTAGAACATCTTTCTGACCACGAGTACTGTTAGATTCTATTGTTAGAACATCTTTCTGTTCACGAGTACTATTAAATGCCATTGTCAGATAATGTTTTCTCCAGTCAGTCTTTGCGTCTATTAGAAACTTACTTGTTTACATTCTAAGATATTTTATGACACTTGACTGAATAATAACACTTAAAACCCTGTGTTTTGTTTAGACAAGCAGTGTTCCTAGGATAAAGCTTCAGAAAATGTAGTAAATAAACCTTCCATTTTTATATTTATGTTTTTTTAATCACAGGATCCCAGATATTATTGTACAGAATTCATGATTCAACCACCTATGTGTAACACTGGAATCATCCATCTATGTGTAACACTGGAATCATCCATCTATGTGTAACACTGGAATCAATCATCTATGTGTAACATTGGAATCAATCATCTCTGTAACACTGGAATCAACCATCTATATAACACTGGAATCATCCATCTATGTGTAACACTGGAATAAACTATCTATGTGTAACACCGGAATCAACCATTTATATGTAACATTGGAATCAACCATCTATGTGTAAAACTGGAATCAATCATCTCTGTGTAACACTGGAATCAACCACCTATGTGTAACACTGGAATCAACCATCTATGTGTAACATTGGAATCAACCATCTATGTGTAACACTGGAATCATCCATCTATGTGTAACACTGGAATCAACCATCTATGTGTAACATTGGAATCAATCATCTCTGTAACACTGGAATCAACCACCTATGTGTAACACTGGAATCATCCATCTATATGTAACATTGGAATCAACCATCTATGTGTAACACTGGAATCAATCATCTCTGTGTAACACTGGAATCATCCATCTATATGTAACATTGGAATCAACCATCTATGTGTAACACTGGAATAAATCATCTCTGTGTAACACTGGAATCAACCACCTATGTGTAACACTGGAATCAACCATCTATGTGTAACATTGGAATCAACCATCTATGTGTAACACTGGAATCATCCATCTATGTGTAACACTGGAATCAACCATCTATGTGTAACATTGGAATCAACCATCTATGTGTAACACTGGAATCAACCATCTATGTGTAACACTGGAATCAACCATCTATATAATACTGGAATCAACCATCTATGTTTAACACTGGAATCAACCATCTATGTGTAACACTGGAATCAACCATCTATATAACACTCGAATCAACCATCTATGTGTAACACTGGAATCAACCATCTATGTGTAACACTGGAATCAACCATCTATATAACACTGGAATCATCCATCTATGTGTAACACTGGAATCAACCATCTATATAACACTGGAATCAACCACCTATGTTTAACACTGGAATCAACCACCTATGTGTAACACTGGAATCAATCATCTCTGTGTAACATTGGAATCAACCATCTATGTGTAACACTGAAATCAACCACCTATGTGTAACACTCGAATCAACCATCTATGTGTAACACTCGAATCAACCATCTATATGTAACACTGGAATCAACCATCTATATAACACTGGAATCATCCATCTATGTGTAACACTGGAATCATCCATCTATGTGTAACACTGGAATCAACCATCTGTATAACACTGGAATCAACCATCTATGTTTAACACTGGAATCAATCATCTCTGTGTAACATTGGAATCAACCATCTATGTGTAACACTGGAATCGACCATCTATGTGTAACACTGGAATCAACCATCTATGTTTAACACTGGAATCAACCATCTACGTCACATAAAAACAAACTACTTTCATGTACCAACCATACGTATGTACAACATGAACAAACCAACTGTAAATTTCAAACCAACCGAACACCTAGCATGATTATACAGTACATAAACCATTTGAACTTCTCTCTCATTTGAACACACCCGACCTTAGACGCGTGTATGCATCGTTTATTCAATCATTAATTTTTGTTTCTTATTAAAAAAATTTAAATACTTAATTAGAAATATTATAACAGTAAATCCTCAACATAAAAGACGAAATAATCTGAGGGTTTAGAACACTGTAATACGGTGTTATATCCCTGCGTTGAGCACAACAAAGATAACTAATTGTGAAGTATGTGGTTAACAACTTCCTGAGAATACGACATTTTCAAATAAACTTTCCTGTTTGTGTAGTTGAATGTGTTTTTAATATACGACACTAACGAGTAAATGATTTTAAATAAACTTTCCTGTTTGTGTAGTTGAATGTGTTTTTAATATACGACACTAACGAGTAAATGTTTTAAAATAAACTTTCCTGTTTGTGTAGTTAAATGTGTTTTTAATATACGACACTAACGAGTAAATGATTTTAAACAAACTTTCCTGTTTGTGTAGTTGAATGTGTTTTTAATATACGACACTAACGAGTAAATGATTTTCAAATAAACTTTCCTGTTTGTGTAGTTGAATGTGTTTTTAATATACGACACTAAC